TATGTCTTTGAATGATAGTTCTATCTGTGAATCTAGAGATGCAGAATTTTTTGAGCATATTTTTTCATTGAAAAATAATGCGCCTAGTGATGTGCCTAGAACTCCTTATGATCCTAGCATACACTTGAGAAAAAATAAGGAATCTAGTATTTCTCACACTGAATATGCTAAGATAAGTGGTAGTGTAATGTTTTTTATGAATTATACAAGACCTGATATTGCTTATGGTGTTAGTAGATTGAGTAGATATACTTACAACCATAGTAATGAACACTGGAATGCTCTTCATCGTTTGTTAATGTATTTGAGAGGTACTATGGATATGTGTTTACATTTTAACAAATTCCTGCTGTTTTAGAAGGATTTTGCAATGCAAACTAGGTTACTGACAATGATGAAGTTAGCTTCATTAGTGGCTATGTGTTTACTTTTGGTGCAGGTGCTATTTCATGGAAGTCTTCAAAACAAACTTGTATAGTACAATCTACTATGGATTTTGAATTCATTGCTCTTGAGTTGGCAGGGCAAGAAGCCGAGTGGATGAGAAACTTATTGACAAACATGCCTTTGTGGGGAAGACAGGTTTCACTAGTTTCTCTATATTGTGACTCACAGGAGGCAATTGGAATTGATAAAAATAGTGTGTACAATGAAAAAAGAAGACATATTCACATTAGGCATAGTGCGATAAAATAATTATTGAAACATGGTGTTATTTCCTTGGAATATGTAAGATACAAAAGAAATTTGGCGGATGCTTTAACAAAGGGTTTGACAAGGAGAGGTATCCTTAAAACGTCAAGGGGGATGGGGCTAAAGCCCATGAATTAAGGAAGTATGGTGAATACCCATTTGTGGTCAAACGAGGCCATATGAGACCTCAATATGCACTACATTTCCTATTCCTATGGCGTGTGATAGTGCTTTATAAGGTTGAGCTTATTTTTCTCTTAATGATTCTATAGCCTTAAGGTGGTCTATGCGTAGATAGACTTGATGGAATCATCTACGTGAGTGTAAAGGTGCAGTCGCCTTTAATGAAAGACTTGGGATGTCTTTCTAGAGTACTCGTAAGACCCAAGGTATGTGCATGACCATAAAAGCACTTTGTTAGTATCGCAGAGTTTGCATTAAGGATATAGTATGTGTTGTGGGGGTCTCAACTAATGTCCATTCAGTTCAAGAGTGCTTCCCTTTGTGGATGTTAGTCGTTGCCTCATTTCACTACGTGTCAATTCAGATCGAAAGATATTGACACTTAAGTACATGTTCCCTCTTTTGCCCAGAATTGTTCTTATTTTATTTTTATCTTTGCACTAGTGGGGGATTGTTGGTATTATTTATAATGCAAAGTCAAAGATTTCTTTATGGTCCCTTTTTATTCTTTACTTCTTTGTCTTTTGTGAAAGACAAATTGTCACTCATTGGTTGTGGAAAGTCTTTTCATTCTTTTTATATTGAATTGCTCTTTGTTGAGCTTGTAAAGAGTTGGTAAAATGGGGTGGTCTCGCGCACATGAGAAATTAGTTCTAAAGGCAAAACGGGTCGATTTCCCTCTCCCCCCCCCCCTCCGGGCACACGTGAGGCCTAATCCAAATCTAGTTTTGCTAAAAAAGAATTCTTCATTTTTTGAGCTTACCAGAAAAATGCCCAAATACATGCGTACCAGAATATGTCCAAATTAATTTTTTTTGAATTGAATTTTGTAACGTGTGATTTATTACTTTGTAACAACTATAATTTAATTTGTTGTAACTGCTACTTGAATTTTTGTATCTCCTACTTGAATTCTGTAACAACTCTTTTATTTTCATATCCCCCAATTTAATTCTCCTTAATGTAACAACTCTAGCATCTTATCTTTATTAGGAGGTGTTTTGTGAAGTTTTTAAAACACAGAAAAAACACCTTCATCTCTCTTCTTCAACCAAATTCTGGGCAATTCCAAACATGAGTGCACGTGTTTGGAGGTGTTGTGGAACCTTAGGGAGCGACCGGTCTTAACGATTTGCACTCAGTCGGGCCGAAATCGCTTTCAAGGTAGTGGCTTGCCACTAGGGGTGTCAATGGTTCAGTTCGACTGGTTATTTTATAAAATTTATACTATACCATTAGATTTTTCGAAACCGTCCCAATCATGTTGGTTTCTCTTCGGTATCGGTACAGTTCGGTTAATTTCAGTATTTTTAAAATATAATGTGAAAGTCATTAGTAGAAGTAGAATTCAATAACATACGTACTTTTATAGGACTTTAGCAAAACACTCTAGGTATTTTTACTGTTTAAATGGTGATGAACTAAGAAAATATGACCAAAGTATAGATCCATCAACTATTTTATAGCAGTGTAAAAGAAACTAAGAATAGAAAGAAAATATAAATCACATGAGTGAAAATATATTAACTATTCAATATTCAAAAAGATAAATTTAAATCATATGAAAGGAAAAATATTTAATACATTATAGTTTGCTTATCATAATCGCTACAATACCTTGTGTCTTGCTAGTAAATATGCTGAAAATTTAGTTTCAATATGAGTAGCATAATAGATTTGTGAATATTTTGAGTTTAAATACTTGTTGGCTTATTACTCTTTTCATAATTTCAAAGCCCAAGGAAAAATTTAATACTTTATTATTTTTAAACTTAATTTACAAATATATTTTTCACATGTAAATTTATTCGGTACGGTTCAGTATTTTTTCGGTTTATTTTTATAAAATAAAAAACCTACCCTAATTATCGGTACGGTTATAAATTTATATAAAAATCTATGATTTTATTAAAAGAAACCTAAAAATCAGTTCGGTATGGTACGGTTCGGTCGGTTTAGTCGGTTTTTAAATATTCATTGACACCCCTACTTGTCACGACACAGTATTTTTCGATAAGTTATTCTTTTTTTTGTCTTGTTCATTGTCAATATTATCTACTCATTTTTCTTACATTATTTTCCGCACTTGACCATTATATAAAGCTTATCGAATTAGCGATTATTTTCTACTGTCTCGCATAGAAATGTAGACGTTCTTTGGTAGGATTAGGCGAAAGTTATTCATGAAAACTTGATAAATGTATCATGAGACTACTTTTGGGATGAACGTTGACAATAAAATAAGTAAACTTCTAATACATGTAGCATCACTAGTCCTTTGAGAATCTTTAAGTACCAAACTAAATATTAAAAAAAAAAAAAAAAAAANNNNAAAATTAAAAAAAAAAAAAAAAAAAGAGTTGAACAACTTGTCACCATAAAAATCATCCAAGTCGTCTCTTAATTAAATATTAGGAAGCGCGGTCATTATTAATGAAGTACTATCGAGTAACTCTCTAGTTGATGTATATAAATTTGGAAAACTGGCACGACCCGAAATTCTGGCCTCGGGACGGTGATGGCGCCTAACACCGCTTGCTAGGCAAGCCAACACAAAAAAAATACGAAAGGAAAAGCAGTAGATATAAAATAACTGAGCAGTAACATAACGTCCACTACCCCAAGATTTGGTGTCACAAGTACATGAGCGTCTAAATCCAGTTAAATACAAGGGTGAAAGAAGTATATCACTATCCAAATAAAATGGAAACAGTACAAGATATAGGAAAGTGACAGGTCTGCGAAGTGACAGGTCTGCGAACATAATGCAACTCTACCTCAAATCAATGATTGGTATCCGCTAAGTGCCTTTCGAAACTCCGCTGGTACCAACGTCAAAATCTGCACAAGAAATACATTATTATAGTATGAGTAAAACCGACTTAATATACTCAGTCAGTATCGAGCCTAACGCTGTGTGCATAATGATTTTGCGGACTTCACCATTGAACTGGACTCCCTTTAATTTTGGTTAATAATATGCTTCAGGATAGGAGAGCAAATAACTGCAAGATGAATAAAAAAGATTGAGGACACTACATAAATAACTACTGGACTCCTTTTTAGTTCCATATTAATGCTATGCACTGCTTCAGGAAGGCAAATCAGGTGGCAGACTATCTTGTTCAATTTGTTATATCTATTTGTGAGGCTATTGTATATCTGTCCTTTCAACAGCTCCGCTAAAGGGGCCAAGGGACCATTCCAATTGGACACATTCCAAATACCTAATATTACTCTAGATAAACTTTTTTGTAAGTTAAGTCTCTTTGGTCCATTTTGACATGGTGCAAATAAATGTTTCACCTCATTGTTTTGTATTTTTGGAGATAAGGCATACATCTCCTCCTATAATGTTAAAAGTTATAAAAAAAACAACACCCCACTCAACCTGAAAAATTTATTTAATAAAAAAAGAATCTTTAAGTAGCAAAATTTCAAAAAAAAAAAAAAATGTGAACGACTTGTCAACCATAGAAATCATCCACGTCGTCTCTTGATTAAGTATTAGGAAGTGTCCAGGTCAGTATTAATTAAAGAAGTATAACTCTCTAGTTGATGACTAAGGGGCGGCTCAATAAATATGGAAGCCTAAAGCAAAAATTTAATGAGAGACTCTTTTTTTATATAAAAGAAAAAATTCATATATTTAAATTCTGTATTTCTAGTTTTTCATATGCAAAGTCTAATCCATTTTAATTTCTCTTGAGGTATACACATTGTGGGACTGTATTAAAGTTTTAACCTTTTTTGAGTTATGAATTAATAATCGAATCCTTTCTCAATTTATGGTCTAAGGAGTGATTCCAAAAAGATATTTTTTCTTAATTTATGATCAACAATTTAATCCTACCTTTTTACTATGAAAATTTATACTTTTTCATTTAAAATACTAAATATTCTTCTAAAAATAAATTAATATATAACCAATTAGAAAAATTTGAGGCCCCAAAAATTATGAGGCCCAAAGCAGCTGCTTTAGCAGACTTACCCTTGGGCCGGCATCAACTTGATGTATTACTAAATATGGAAAATAGAAAACAAGTGAAAGACTTTGGAGTCCTATCATTACCAAATTAAGTTCCAACTTCTGAGTTATAAAAGTTCCAGAGAGAAAATCAGAGATGGGAAATCTCCAAGCTGACATGTTGCTACAACATTTCGCACACCCAGAGCATTTGCTAGAAGTATATAATTCCAACATGGAATACGAATGTGATGGTTGCTACATGCCTGGTATAGGGAAAAGATATCGCTGCCATGGTTGCGACTTTGATTTGCATGAATACTGTGGATTATGTCCACCGTTTCTTTCTTCTTTCATGCATTCTCATCAACTTAAGCTCATCAATTTCATGCCGCAAACCAATAGCGATCTCGTCGGCTTCTGCGACGTCTGTTGCGATCCTGTTGAAGGCCTTTTCTACCGGTGTAATCGTTGCAATTTCGACGTCCACCCTCTTTGTACTCAGTTGCCTCAAACAATACGTCATGTCCTACATCAGGTAAGTAATTGGTAAAACCCCACATAATCTGATATCTCTAACCATGCGTGTTTTTCAGTTGCTCTGACATGAATAACACATCAAATAAGATTTGGACACATCATCTTCATCGATCCTTTTCTTTAATTTTCCTCCTCTTCAACCCTTCATATATACTAGAGTCGGAGCTCAAGTTTAGGTTACGGATTCAACAGAAGTCGCTTTGATAGTAGTGTTCAATAATTACGCAACCTTTTTGATGATGACTGTTAATATTTCAGCAGCATCGTTTAAGGCTTTTGGGCCCGTATGAACCAGCTGGGAGATGTGTTGTTTGCAGAGGAGCATGTAACGCTTCTTCATGGCCTTATAGGTGTGCACAGTGTAGATTTGATATTCATCTTGATTGTGTGTTGGTTCAATGTGAAACGAGAAGGACACAACGAGGAATCCAGACGTATGTTCCACCGTCTGCATTCCCTCAGCAACAGTATTTTAGTGGTCATGCTAATGGAGTTAGTTCATCTTACTAATAATCACATGTTACCTAAAGAAGAGAATCTCTCAATTTTCCAGTCTAATATTTGTTTTAAGGATTAAGGCCAGTTAACTACGGCAGAAGAGTTTATTGCTTAAGAAGCAATGTAGAATTTTAAAAGAACCAAAAGAAAAGAAAAAGAAGCCAATTCTGTTGTAAGCACATTGGAGATTAAAATATTTTAGCCTTGTATCTTGCCATTGAAATACCAAGAATGAAGAAGTAACAAATCAAATAACCCCCAGGTTAAATCAATTTCATTTCTATATATAAGTTTGACTAGCTAATTGCAATAGCGTGGATGTTAATTAACGTTAACACTAGATTTAATAGTTTCATCTCAATCTGATCTTTGGGACCAAACAGTAGTACATATGTGGGGATAATTTCTTTAGTCATTTTACAACATAGTGATTCCCCGTACTTCATAAAATGTTAAAATAATCAAATTGGATACAGTTACACCAAAATAAGTAAATAGTTGGATAGCTAAAGAAAGTCTGAAGGTCTGAACCATCAAAAACTTCAAGTTTTAGTCGATTAGCAATTGACTTTATAACTCCGGAGTAAACAAGAGTACTACTACGCGAAAAATCCCTTGGAAATTGCAGAATGCAAAGTGAAACTAGCACTAGCAGACATGTCAATTGTCAAATATCCAATAGAAGTTATGTAAGAGCTTTCTCATTTCATGTAGCTATCAAGGCAAATATATTGAAGAAACCTACTCATAGCTGTGGGCAAATGTCAAGAGGTGGAGCTAAGATTGGGATCGTAATTAAATATTTATACATATTTAATAAGTATTCTTATACAAATATATGATCTAAGTAAAAACTATTGAGTTCCTCTCCACGTAAGATTATATTGTAGCTTTGCCCATTGCCGCGTTGAAAATTATACAAGAACTATTGAGTAAGCTGAATACATTCAAGGTCCGGTGAAACCAAGTAAGAAAAAATAGGTAGCAACGTCCAAATAAACAACCGCTTTCACACAAGATTTGTACAAGAACTTTTCCCAGGTACCACACCTCATCACCACAATTCGCGGGTCCCAATTCACGAACCCTAATCACTTGACATCTTGTGCCCACATTATAAATCACAATTGCACGGACAACTCACGTGCTGCACGGACAATTCACGTGCCAAATACCATTAATACCTCATATCTGCGTGGTCAACTCACGTGTTAAGCGAGTAACAATATCTCATATCCGCACGGACAACTCGTGTACCAGCAATAACAATAATTCATAAATGCACGGACAACTCATGTGCCAATAGTACAACTCTCACACAGAAGGCAAGTACACGAGAATACATATAAATGATCAATAGACATCGGGATTCATCTTCCTAAACTGATATGAGTGGTTAATTACGTGTATGATTGTGCAAGTGTTCTATCACAACTCGATTCAACAAGTGAGAACAGAGACAACAAATGACACAAAGGAAACAACACAACAAAGCATAAAATGCATGACTCACACAAGCTAGGCACACCACTACACAATTATCATGAATAACAATGCCCCCAGGCCATCACAAGTCATCACAAATCATCCCCGACATAGCCCGCCTTGTCTCCCTACAAGCGCAACAATAAAGTAAATTCTCNATATATATATATATATACCCCGCCTCGTCATGCCGCATGTGCAAATATCAATAATAATAATAGCACGGATAACTCATGTGCGAACACCCCGACAATCCTCTCAACAGTATCACGTGTGCTAAAAATTTAACAACACAATATAATAACTCGCACCACATGTATGTGCCCATATGCCACAACATTTCCTTAAAATAATTTTAATACTACACATACCCCCCGGCTCAATAACACTGAGTACAACAACAATAATAATAACACGAGAGTACAGGATGTAATGAATACAAGAATTACAAAACACAAAGAAACGGAAGAACAAGGCTCACAATAAAAGATATGACAAGTAATAGTGGTTTCAAATAAGAATGACTCAACAATGACAGAGATAGTGTGTAACAATGATATCAAATAAGAGTAACTCAACAATAGAAGAGATAACATGTAACAATGATTCAAAATAAGAACAACCCAACAATAATAGAGGTAATATGTAACAATGATTCCAAATAAGTACAACTCAACGATAAGAGAGATAACATATAACTAGGGGTGGGCATAAAATCCGAAAAACTGAATTCCGAAACGAACCGAATTAATTTGGTATTTCGATATCCAGTTTTTCAGTTTTTCAGTATTATTCGGGATAGATTTTTCGGTATTTCGATATTTCGATTCGGTACTCGGTATTAATTTTTTGATATTTCGGTATACTAAAATACCAAAATATATTAGGTCCAAGCCCAATAAAGAATAAACCTAAGCGCAACACCCCTAATCCCTTAGGCCTTAATTAGTCCCTTAGGGCTTAGAGACTTAGAGAGCAGACAACAAAACTTACCTTCTGCTTACCCCTTCCCTTTTCTATTTTCTAACCTTAATTTCTCTCAAAAACATTGCTTGACTGCTGTTGTAATTCACGACTACAATAGCAGAGATGGCGACGACGACTTCACGACCTCGGCAATGGCGACTCCTTTCCTCGGCGACTACTTGTTTGCTCATTATTGACCTTTATTCTTCAATCTTCAAGTCTTCAATAGGTTAACAACTTCTTCATTCTTCATTCTTCAGGTTTTATGTTAGTTTCAACTTGTTAAATCTCATTAAGTTTCTTATGTTGACAATAATCAATTTTTGAGCATTTAAAGAATAATTGTTTTTGGGGTTTTAGCTAGTGAAAAGATTTGAGTTGCGTACTTGAACTTATATGGAGTTAAGAATTTAAGAATCATTGTATTTGCAAAACTCAATCATAAATTTTTATTTTCTGGGAAATTGCCGTCAAAGAGCAGTGAGGTTGCCAGCAGAGAAGGACTACATTAAAATAAAATCAAGAAGCTCGAGTCGCTAGATTTTTCAAATATTACATTCCTTTGAAAAGCTTTGCCAGATTCTCTTAAGCTACTGACAAAAGAACAATATCATCTTAGAGGAGAAGAGTAAGAAATAAAGAACAATATCATTTTAGAGCATAAATCTCATGTTGTCTTTTTGCAATGTTCACATTTTCTTTTCAGGATTCAATGTTGCAATTGTTAAATCTAAGTCACTGCACTCCAAGAATTATTTTTTGCTCTATGTAATTATCGAGATTTTATTTTCTAAGTTTGCCTTTGAGTGATTGAATTCTCAGTAGCAGTCAGAAGAGACATTAGACAATAGGCATAGCATAATCTTGGGAGATTTGAAAGACTTTGGTAAGATACCGAAACCGTACCAAACCTAATAAGAAAATACCGAACCGTACTGAACTACCGAACTACTTTGGTATGATATTTGGTATGAACAATTGATATACCGAACACCGAAGTACCGAACTGTAGTTATTAAATACCGTACCGAAGTACCGAACGCCCACCCCTACATGTAACAATGATTTCAAATAAGTACAACTCAACGATAAGAGAGATAACAAGTGACAAAGACTTCAAATAAGGATAAGTCAACAATGGAAGAGATAACAATAACTTCAATTAAGGATAACCAACTACAAAAGAGATAATATGGCAATAAAAGAGGTAACAAATTCAATTTTGGTATATAAGAGTATATTTGACAATAAAGGGTAGAACATGAACCAATCAACCTCAAATAAGATATGTAAGAGTAAATTTAGCAATTGGGAATTTAACATGATAAGACAACTTCATTTTAATGTACATAAGAACATAAGAGTCTAAACCAGTCAAATTTCCACATATAAGCCGTGTAAAAACTCGTCACCTCGTGCACACATCTTTCACGTAGTTCAAATAGTACAAACAAATCAATCCCTATGGGGTAGTTCCCCCATACAATGTTAGGCAAGATACTTACCTCAAAAGCCCTCAATCAAGACTCTAAAATAGCTTTTCCTTTACAATTCACCTCCGCTCGGCTCAAATCTAACCAAAATCGATTCAATAACATAAAATAATGCAGGAGAAATCAATTCTAATAATTAAAGCTATGGTCTTTACACAATTTCTCAAAAGTCAACACAAGTCAATCCGGGGCTTGCTCCGTCAAAACTCGGGTCCAATGGTAGATTCCGACTACCCATGACCTACGAGTTCATATATATGATTAGTTTCAAAATTCAAGTCCAAATCGACTATCAAAACTCAAATTCTTATTTTTTAAAAACTTGAAAAAGTTCCACAAAGTTTCACTTTGATTCACATGATTTTGATGTTAAAATCTAAGATATATTGATGGAATATGATTAGAAATATATTAGAATCACTTACCCAAAGTTTGTAGATGAAAATTTCTCTTCAAAATCGCCTCCTATCGAGTCTAGGGTTCCAAAATATGAAAATGAGACCAAAAATCCCGTCACTTAGCTTTTTGTCCAGTCACAGGTCTCGCAAAATGCGAAGAAACCATCGCAAAAGCGAAGTCCCTCACACCACTGCTGTCATTGCAAATATGTTGATTATCTCGCAATTGCGAACTATGGACTTCCGCATTTGCGATCAAAGTGATCGCAAATGCGATAATGCACAGCTCATGCCAGTATAGCAAATGAGATGGGTAGTTCGCAAATGCGAACTCTTCAGGCCACAGTGCACTTCGTAAATGCGATGATGAAGCTCGCAAATGTGATTGTCGCAAATGCGACCTATTTCTCGCAAATGCGAGATCTAAGCACCATAAAAAATCTGAACCTTATATGAACTCTCCGAAACGCGTCTGAAACTCACCCGAGCCCTCGGGGCTCCAAACCAAACATCAACACAAGTCTAAAAACATAACACGAACTCGCTCGAGTGATCAAATCATAAAAATAACATCCAAAATCATGAATCAGACCTCAAAACACATGAATCTAACATGAAACTCAAGGACTTCTAAAAATACAACCGCGCGTCTGATTCCTATCAAATCAAC